GCAGGGCTGCACTCCATATGTTACATCTGTCAAGGCGTCACTCGTAACATGCTAGTTACGTAGAGCTCTGCTAAATGTCGCCCTGCAACACAGTGGTTTTCGATTCAGCACAGCGAGTGCGGCACCTCCACATTCTCATTAGTAAAAGTAAAGTAAAGGACCCTTTTTCACGCCTTTAGGCGTATAGGGCATATAGGGCTAGACCTATATTTTTAAAGACCAATGGTCACAAGATGAGTGATGTGATCAGCATTACGCCGGCCACTAATACTTCCCAGGACTTCCTCGACATTCTCATTGCTGACCATAAAACCCTATGATCGCCACAACTTTCTCCTTCTTATCGCGTCCCGCCCCCCCCCTTTCCACCCCTTATTCTACTTCTGATGTAGCTTCTATGCCTCCTAGTTGTTGTTGATCATGTTGTTGTTGTTGTTGTTGTCCTTCTTCTTCTTCTTCTTCTTCTTCTTCTTCTTCTTCTTCTTCTTCTTCTTCTTCTTCTTCTTCTTCTTCTTCTCCTTCCCCTCCTTCTTTTCCATGTTTTTGCCTCTTCTCCTTTCATCATCTAATCGAGCACTGGAACCATAGTCTAATCTTCTATGATTGGGGGAGAATGTTAACATCAGGCGAAAAGAATAGCAACATATCAGGCTTGACGGTAAAGATCCACAGCGTTATACAGGATTCACGGCCAACCAACCAACCAACCACTCAGTCAACTAACCACAAAACCAACTACTTAGCCACCAACCAGTAAACAACTTACCAGCCAACCAGTAAACTTAACTACCAACCAGCTAACCAGTCAACGAACCCATGAAACGTCCAGCCAGCCAACCAAACTATCTAGCCAATCAGCCAGCCAACCGAACTAGCTAACTAATCGGCGGCCAGCTAACCAATCGGCGCTCAGCCAGCCAACCAAACTAGCTAACCAAAACAGCCAGCCTACGAATGGAAAAAAAAACACACAATAACAATCAGTTAGCCAACAAACGAACTAATCAACCAGCCAGCCAGCAAACAAACCGACCGACCAACCAACCAGTCAACCAACCAAACCACTGTCCTTTTTAATGTTTTGTTTTTCATCTGTTATTCAAATGAAGAACTAAGCGAAAAGTTGGACGCTGATACCTGACCCAGCAACATGTCGGTTTTGCAAGACCCATTGTAAGATACAAGATTACAGTTGTAAGCAAGTCACTGAAGCGAACTATCGATTAGCTCAGTAAGGATTACTTAGAAACACATGCGTTCTGGTCGATGTGAAACATGGACATGCTGTAGATTAGGGCAGTAATGTGGATTATGCCGCAGTAATGTAGTTCATTAGAAGAATGGTGAGACCACCACGGACAAACACAAAGCGTATTGTGGTCTGGTCAGGGCTGCAGATTCATTGTTTTCACCTGATTGTTGCAAACGTCTTACTTCAGTATATAGCAATCAGTATATCAGGCTGACCCACTGCTCGTCCGTCCTTCACAGAAGCTTCACCTGCAAGCCTACCTGCTTCTTTGTTTCCTTCTGAAATGGATGCATGACAAACTAGATGTTGTACGGACCATGTGGGTTGGGGGTGGCCCGGGGGGGGGGGGGGGATGAACAGTGTGGGAGGCACAGATGGATCATCACGGTCTGAGGAGAATGGTTATATTGAGAGTGACCAGAGGAAGTGGCCGTCGATCAACACTCAGTGGAAAGGTCAGACGGATATACAATCCGACTTCATCTGGTGATATCGGAATTAAGACTCTACGCTTGCTGTTGAAGATAGGGGCGGGGCGCTTATGGGAATGTAACGAGTGCCGTGATGTCGATCCTTAAATAAACATTAAACATTTCCCTGTGAAGGAAAAACAAATATTCACAAAGAAAACTTATAAGCGACAACGGAAACAGCAGTAAATCCACATTCTTTGGGCATGAATAAGAAGAGGAAAACTAGAAAGCATCGTTAAAAAAAAGATGTCGGAAGGTAGCAGAAGCAGGAGGAGATCAAGAAAGTATAAGTTGGACAATCTGGCATAATGATGTGAAGGGACATATGAATAAGTAGTTTGAAAATCAAAAATAAAGGGGGTGTGATAGGGTTGGAAAAAGGGGGGGGGGGGGGGGGCTTTAAAGGCAATACGATCTACTCAGCTGCGTCTGGTTTTGTCAAGTATAGCCCAGTCTCGATTGGCAGAGCCGCTGTCACTTACTCAAAAGGTCGTACAAAACAAAGAATAACGTAGCTCCAGCGACGATCCACTGGGACAACTATATTAGTAAAACAAAGGACTGAGTCCGAAATCGAACCATAGGAGCGCGAGGCAAACGGCATAGCTACTTCCCTACAATGACCCTCTTTGTCCTTTTCATAAAAAGAAAAAAACCAAATCGGCAGTACAGGAGACAAAGGCTTTTTACATACGACCGTACATGCTAACTAACACTTAACTGCACAGGCACAAACACATGCACTCAAAAACACAAACACGCACACGCAAACATACACACACAGAGAGTAAAAGAACGGATTTAAACCGAAACCCCCGCGTTCACAGATAGACAACATGCACTTTACAAGGCATCTCCAAGGACTACAACAATTTCAGCCATGTTGAAAATTCCAGCCAGATTTTATCCCCGCGGTACGCAAACTTTACTCAGATGCATAGATCAAATATCACCGCTGTCAAACAGGCAATACAAGGAATGTCTTCTGTGCAAAAAGCAGCCAGGCACGAGTCGCATTGTGTGTGCTTGACGGTGACAAAAATGCAAGGCAAATTTCTAGTATTTCAAAATGGCAGAAGTGGCTATTTGCGTGGGCAAAGACACATGTTGGGTTTTAAGCATGAAAGGTTCGGTAATACGGTTAGAGTCGATTAACTGAAGGAGGACGATGGGGGAAAAACTGATTTACAGTAGAGTGTCTGTCTTAGAGTCTGGGAAAATATAATCATACAACTTTCAGACACACAGATGCCACATAGCATAGCTTTTCAGACAAATAGATTGACTGCCATATAACCTTTCAGACAAACTGGCTACCATACAGCCTTACAGACAGACAGACATAAAGACTGTCATTAGACTTTCTGACTGATAGAGTGACTGACTGCCATACAAACCTTTAGGCTCATACTGACTGACTGCCATACAGATTGTAGACAGGGACAAACTGACTACAGTACAACTCTTTAGACACATTGTCGTGCAGCATTTCAGACGGACAGAATGACTGTCATACGACTTTCAGATAGGCAGAGTAATTGAATGCTATACAGAGAGAGAGAGAGAGAGAGAGAGAGAGAGAGAGAGAGAGGAGAGAGAGAGAGAGAGAGAGAGAGAGAGGGGGGTGGGGGGAAGGGGGGGGGTGAACGGTAGATCGAATGATTGCAGCAAGAACAGGCCTGAAGAGTCAAAAATAAACTTATACAAAGTGTTAGAAAATAACTCAGAAGGGCGCACCGAAGGACACACATGCGTACAGACAGACAGACAGACAGACAGACAGACAGACAGACAGACAGAGAGACAGAGAGAGACAGACAGACAGACAGACAGACAGACAGACAGACAGACAGACAGACAGACAGACAGACAGACAGACAGACAGACAGAGACAGACAGACAGACAGACAGACAGACAGACAGACAGACAGACAGACAGACAGACAGACAGACAGACAGACAGACAGACAGACAGACAGACAGACAGACAGACAGACAGACAGACAGACAGACAGACAGACAGACAGACAGACAGACAGACAGACAGACAGACAGACAGACAGACAGACAGACAGACAGACAGACAGACAGACAGACAGACAGACAGACAGACAGACAGACAGACAGACAGACAGACAGACAGACAGACAGACAGACAGACAGACAGACAGACAGACAGACAGACAGACAGACAGACAGACAGACAGACAGACAGACAGACAGACAGACAGATAGATAGATAGATAGATAGATAGATAGATAGATAGATAGATAGATAGATAGATAGATAGATAGATAGATAGATAGATAGATAGATAGATAGATAGATAGATAGATAGATAGATAGATAGATAGATAGATAGATAGATAGATAGATAGATAGATAGATAGATAGATAGATAGATAGATAGATAGATAGATAGACGTCAACACAAATCGTGGAAAAAAGAATGAATTGCAGCGTCACACACAAAACCCAGCACAGCAACAATAATTAACTAAACTACCACAGCACGCGGACGTGACCTTGCCAGAACCTTGACAAGGCGTGGACTCCCCATGTCATGTATGAAATAATTATCATATTAACTAACTAACCCGTTCTAGATTCTATGTTTGTTTGTCAAGCACTGCTTTATGCTCTCTCTCTCTCTCTCTATCTCTCTCTCTCTCTCTCTCTCTCTCTCTCTCTCTCTCTCTCTCTGAGAGAGAGAGTGTGTGTGTGTGTGTGTGTGTGTGTGTGTGTATCAATCTCGGTATATGTCTTTGCCTATACTGTGTCTGTATCTGCCTTGCTCTGTCTCTCTCTTCTCCTCTCTTTCTCTCTCTCTCTCTGTGAGTGTGTATGTGTGTGTGTGTGTGTGTGGTTCTCTCTGTTATTCTTGCTGTGCCCATGTCAGACTGACACAGCAATGACCTGCAGACACATATTTCGAATGTCAAACCAATTGACACTACACCGGATACCTCTTTCAACTATAAAACTGGGTCATAAGGAGGCACAATAAGAGTGGGGCTTTAAATTAGGAAGAAAAATGTCATCCTAAAAAGGACGCAGGGGCCCCAATATAGCCAGGCCATAAATATGGCCAATTGGCTGAACACGGTTTCTGGGACCTCTCCACAGTGATCCTCATCCACATGGTGGCACTTTGTGTCATCTGGTGTTTATCGCTTGTGTGATGTCCTGGTGGGGTAGAAAGTCAGTCAGTCAGTCAGTCAGGCACAATAAGACACAAAATACTGATGCCTTTATAATGTGTATCAGTCAGTAGCATGTCCTATAACAACCCTCTGAATCACAAGCAAGATGTCCTGCGTCTGATACACCCATCTAAAGTTAATGCGCAACATCCTGCAACCATCTTCTCTTTGGCCTTCCTCTTCCTATCTTCCCAGGCATTTACCCCTCCCTCCCTCCCTTGGTATTCTTTTCAAACTTTCGTAACGTTTCAAGGGTTAAAAAATATTTAAATTTTCTGTGTTTTATCGTCTTTTGTAGCCAATATTCTTCAAAATTCATATCTTGAAGTATGAATGCATTTGTTCTTTTCTTTACCCATGAATTTATAAGAAGCAGTCTGTAACATTTGTATACAAAGGAATTTATACGCTGTCCAGCTTGTTTAGTAATTGCCCAGGTCTCACAAGCATATGTTACAATGGGAAAGATGCATGCTCTAAGAAATCTTTTCTTTAGTAGTTCTATTCATCCCAGTCCATAATTTATTCAGTTGTCTCAGTCCTTGAAGAGCAATTGATAGACGGCGTTTTATTTCTTTAATCGTGTCACTATTGTTGGTAATCAATGACCTAAGATATTAAAAATTGTCCACAACCTCATTAACACACATTTCCTTCTCCACAGTAGTTGTATCCGTCACATAAGGTTTGTAATCGATTCCTCATTTCCGTTCCATACAAGGCAATCTCTTCAATATTATAATGACATCCAGTATAACACCGTTGGTCTCTCTCATCAACGTTCGTTTTATGGTTTCTTCTGCAGGTCCCCGCTTCCTCGATCCCTTTGTTTCCCATTTTAGTGACTATCTTGCAATTCTTTTCTTGTTTTTGTTTTGTTTTCTCAGGATGTGTAAAATAGAGCGCCTTCTTCTCTACCTTATAACTGTTGTTACCAGTGGTTGCCCAGATATTTCTCTTATTTATTGAAACTTCCCTTTTATAAAACCATAATTTATAATTATTCAAATGACTGCACCCCGAAACTTGTTTAAAGATAATAATAATAATAATAATAATAATAATAATAATAATAATAATAATAATAATAATAATAATAATAACAACACCAACAACAACAAGAACAATAATAATAACATTCATCCCTTAACAGAAAACACTACACTAGTCCAGATGATAAGTGAATGTTATAGAAAAACAATTGGGCACATAGAACTAAATATATATTTTATAGACAAATGGATCACTCAAGGCTAGGTCAACCTAGGAGTCAAGATCATGTTTAAAACAGTCCGGCTCCTCCAGGACCCGAATCCAGCATCTTGACTTGACAACGCCGGCTCTAAGAACGTTGTCAGCATACCGAAATCGGAACTTTCCGCAACGATCCACAACCACCCACCCACCCAGAAACCCCACCCACCTACCCACACACACACACGCATATGCGCACGCACACGCGCACACGCATAGGCGGACTTGCACACACACACGCATATAAATAAATAAAATATATATATATATATATATATATATATATATATATATATATATATATATATATATATATATATATATATATATATATATATATATTGACCGAGCACCATCTGTCCGGATGTGTCACAAGCGTGAAAAAAGTCCTAGGAAAATGTGTACTGATGACATTAAAAAGCACCTTCATCAACACGAAATGACAACAGCAAATGCTGCCCATAAAGCAATGGATTGCAAACTATTTCTCCCCACAACGCTTAACGGCAGAAGTGGAAATTGATGATGATGGCTTTTTTTATGGATATAAAAATGGAAGTGGAGAAGAGGTCAGTCTTGCGAGTATGTATCGCATCAAAAGACTAATGAGGACACGTGCATGTTTGGTGCAGTAGTGCAGGAGTAATTCCTCTCCTCGGGAAAATAAGAGGATAGCAGTACTAATTCTGTTACGCTGTATTGAACAGTGATACTAGGTTCTTCGTCACTAGTAGGTGCTGTAAGACCTTGATTTCACAGGATTCAACGCGAAAAAGGGGGGGGGGGGGGGGGAGTATACAATGTCACATTATCTATTAAAAAATTGTAGGTAAGTAATTAAGGCAGGTTTTTCAAACAATACATTGGTTTCCATGTAGACTGCGCCTAAAATTCATACCAGGTAAAGTACTAGGAAGTGAAGGCAGTCGGTGTGATATTGACCAAATCGCGCATTTAATGTCAACTAGTTCGTAATTAGTTTAAGAAATATTGAGGGAAAAAGTATTGGTTTATAAAGATATTTCTAGCCTAATATACCCGATGCTCTCTCTCTAATGAAGGGACTTTTGCCGTTACTATCTATAGCAGACTGTGATAACAGTGACGTTTTGCGGCTAGTCTACTACATGATGATAATGGTTAATTATATGCTGGGCTGGGGCTATGGTCGTGCAGGGGCTAGACTGTTGCCTCCCCCGCCTTATGTTTAGGGTTCAAATCCGCATCGAGGTAAAACGGAAATTGACCTTGCTGCCAGGCACTCAAATGGGTATCAGGTAATTTCCTGAGAAGTAAAGACGGCCGGCGTAATGCTGATAACTTCACCTACTGAATGTTTACTAGTCTATAATAAATTTAAGAATGATATTAAAATAAAAATCATGAATAACTGAAGCTTGCTTTAAAAATGCTTCACATAATTTCTGCATTAAAAAAAAAAAAAAAAGACATACAAATCCTATAATATAATAACAGTTAGTTGCGTATCCTTTACAGGACGTTGCAGAACCAACTCCCATCATTTTTTGGCTGTTGTGGTTTTCCCAGGCAAGTTTACGTCTAGTAGTTTGCCAATGCTCTCTGACGGTCGGCTTCTCGATACCATTGTAGAAACCAACGCAAGGCGCAAGGCTCGCAGCTGGGATCGAACCCAGCACCCCGGCATTATAAAGCGCGTTCGCAACGCCTAAGCCACAGACGACGATATATAAAAGATACTGGTTAGGTTAGTTGCGTATCCTTTACAGGACGTTGCAGAACCGACCCCAAATTTACGTTCAGTAGTTTGCCAAAAGATACACAAAATAAAAAGTTAACAGACAATGGCATTACGCAGTCAAAGACGGCTATGAAACATTTAGTCCATTTGTTTGTGTTCCCCTAAAGAGCACCTACATGTTTTCTGGGATCAGCGACCCTGAAAAACAAAAAACAAAACAAATAACAACAACAGAAGAACAACAACAACTACCACACTACTACTACTACGACTACTACAAACTACTACTACTACTACTACTACTACTACTACTACTACTACTACTACTACTACTACTACTACTACTACTACTACTACTACTACTACTACTACTACTACTACTACTACTACTAGTACAAACTACCACCACCACTAATACTACTACAAACTACTACTACTACTACTACTACTACTACTACTACTACTACTACCACTACTACTACTACTACTACTACTACTACTACTACTCCTCCTACTACTACTACTACTACTACTACTACTACTACTACTACTCCTACTATTACCAAAACTACTACTACTACTACTACTACAACTACAACTACAACTACAACAACTACTACTACTACTACTATTACTACTACTACTACTACTACTACTACTACTACTACTACTACTACTACTACTACTACTACTACTACTACTATTACTACTACTACTACTAATACTGCTGCTACTACTACTACTAGTACTGCTACTTCTATTACTACTACTACTACTGCTACTTCTATTACTACTACTACTACTACTACTACTACTACTACTACTACTACTACTACTACTACTACTACTACTGCTACTACTACTACTACTACGACTACTACTATTTATACTACTACTACCATTACTACTGCTACTACTACTACTACTACCATTACTATTGCTACTACTACTACCATTACTACTGCTACTACTACTACTACCATTACTACTGCTACTACTACTACTACCATTACTATTGCTACTACTACTTCTATTACTACTACTACTACTACTACTACTACTACTACTACTACTACTACTACTACTACTACTACTACTACTACTACCTCTACTACTACTACTACTACTACTACTACTACTACTACTACTACTACTACTACTACTTCTACTACTACTACTACTACTACTACTACTACTACTACTACTACTACTACTACTACTACTACTACTACTACTACTACTACTACTACTACTACTACTACTACTACTACTACTACTACTACTACTATTATTATACTACTGTTACTACTCCTGCTGTCACGTTCTTCTTTAACAATCCATCCTAATGTGGACCCGACACTAGCATCAAAGCGCCGTCACGCTAGCGTCTGGCCACTTCCCTACAGCAACTACCCTCACGCTAGCGTCTGGCCACTTCCCTACAGCGACTACCGTCACGCTAGCGTCTGGCCACTTCCCTACAGCGACTACCATTAACCCTAACCAGCTGAAAAACACAGCACTGTGCTACCAGGAACAAGTTAGCCATAATTAATGACAACCACAAACTGTTTGCCAGAGGTTCCCAAACTGTGCACATGCAGCTGAGATTACTACTGACGCTGGATTATTCCAGTGACCCCAATTGCACCGCAGACTACTAGCGCCCCCATCCCGCTTTCTCATCCCACCCCCGATCGTTCAAGCGACGCCATAACTTACCACAGTCACACAAGGTGGCTAACATTCCCTTTTATAAGACGGAATTGAATAGGGCAGAATCTTTCGGAGCCTGTTATTATTTCAGCGAATAAACAAAACCTGCGGTGCAAATAAGTGTTACTTAATATATCTACGTTGTTTTCCAAATAAGTGTTACTTAATATATCTACGTTTTTTCCACACACACACAAAAAAGAATAGGGGCTTTTGAGCTGAAATGCTATAGAAAGATTCTCAGAATATCTTGGACAGAGAAGATGAGAAATATTGACATCTTAAAAGATCTGAACATCAAGGAATATTGGTTAATAAACAGCATCCTTTCTCGAAAGCTGAAATATTTTGGTCATATCAAGCGCCACGACGGATTGGGAAAAATTATAACAGAAGGCATGGTACCAGGAATGATGGACAGGGGCGGACCGACACGGAGATGGGCACAGGATATAAGTGACTCCATGAGTGTGAAAGTGCATGAGGCGGGAGAACTGGCGAGAGACCGAGTTTCTTACAGGCAGATTGTGATGAAAGCGACTTTCTGCAAAGGAC